ACCTAAGTCGTGTGTCTCATCGTTGTACGCAGGCAGGGGCGCAGCCCTCTCTGGGTGAGTGCGAGGGGTGGCCGGGATGAAGGCGCAGAGAAAGCGCCGGTTGTGCAGGGTGAGGCGGCCAGACCCATCGACCCTGACACGGTATTGGTTGTGTCCTAGTGACTCTAATACCACCCCAGATCTGTCCCATGCCCGCGGGCTACCGCCAACTAGGTTCTGGAGGAACACCGCCTCCCCGACTACGAGGGCGGAGCGGTCGTACGTGTTCTCTCAGAAACTCAGTGGTACGGGCTATCCGAGTCCGGAGGGCCTCTTCCTTCGCCGCCCATGCCTGACGCCAAAGCGGACGGATGTGAGGGTTGGAGAACTTCTCCAGCCTATTAACAAATGACAGCGAGTCCCTGAGGGGGTAAAAAAAGATGATTTGCGCGGGCGACAGGTTGCAGTCGGGGTCAGGCGTATTACGCAGTTGTAACATCGCACGCAGAAAGCGGTCATGGTCGAGGCTCCCGGTCGGGCCGGTGTTTGAGACTAGTAGGCGCTTCACCGTCTTGACAGCCACCTCCGCCCTTCCATTAGACTGGGGGAACCCAACCAAGGACACGCGGTGCTTGACCTGCCATAAGCGGAGGAAATCCGCTGTGCTCCCTGCCGAGAACTCCAGGCCTCCGTCACTTGACAACTCCTCAGGCACACCAAACGTGGCGAAGAAAGCCCTTAAGTGACGGATAAGCCCAATGGAGCCCCCGAGATTGGTGCCCGCGGGAGAGCTCATGACTTCCACCCAGCCGGAGAGGCGATCGCCAACGACCAGGTAGTGGTGACCCCTGTAGTCGAAGAAGTCTGCGAACACCTCCTCACATGGCATGGATGGCGGTGATGCCGGCATGGGAGGTGTGGCCGTCTGCGAGGGGGCATTGCGGTTACAGTCTGCGCATCGCTCCCTGGTCAACTGGATGTCGTTAGACATCCCAGGCCAGTATACGATGGAGCAGGCCCGTCGTTCCATTGCCGACTTGCCCTGATCGGCGTGGACGTGCTGAAGTACCGCACGACGAAGGGACGTGGGGACAATGATGCGGTCACAGCACAGCAGGACCCCATCTTGTGCATACACCGACTCACAGACCTTAGACAGGTCGGCCAGCGCCAGGTCCTTTGCGTCTTCAATGAGGTGCAGGAGGTGGGAGAGGCATGCGTCCGCGGCTGTCTCCTGTGCGAGGAGTGGCCATGCAATGGCAGCAGACTCCAGTGCGTCACTGCAAATGGACGCCATATGCACCGACTCCTCACTATCGGTCACATTCCATGCGCCCATGCCGCAGCCCTCATCAGAGCCAGAGGGCGAGGGATACCTGGAGGCTGCGTCGGCAGCGCAGTTGCTCTTGCCAGGCAAGTGTACAATATCAAAGCGCCATGGGAGTGTGCACTGTTTGAGTCTGAACAGGCGAGAGTTAGTTATCTCATCCAATGTCCGGTCCCCAAGTATCTTCACCAGGGGCTTATGGTCGGTGACCACAACCAGATTGTTGCACCCCTGCGTGAAGTATCTGGTCTGCTCCAGACCCCATGCTACAGCCAAGGCCTCCCCCTCCTCAATAGCGGCGTATCGCTGCTCAGCAGAGGAGAGAAAGCGTGAGCCGGCCAGAGTAATTTTCCATTCATCCGGACAGCAGCCAGGGACACCGGAGCTGCAGGTGCAGTGCTGCTAGAGGAGGAAGTATCCAATGCCGCGCCTGGACCAGTCTGGGCAGAGGCAAGTGCGCCTCTCCATGTCGTAGATCTCTATGCCTGCCCAGATAGAGTCCACGGTGGCCAGCTTGGATGCCTGAAATTCTGCCTCTAACTCGGGAGACCACACAAATTTGCATCGAGGGCTCAGAAATGGTTTAAATGGCGCCATTATGCCACGCAGCTGCGCATAGTTGGCCACCTGATTGACCAGACCAAACCAGCTCCTGATGTCCGTGGTCGAGGTAGGCGTGGGGAAGTCCCTGATGGCTGTCAGGTACTTTGGGAGGGGCTCGATTGTAGCATCAGAGACCCTGAAACCAGCAAAATCAACGTCCCTCTCAGCAAATTGAAACTTGATGGGTTCAACACGATGCCGGATTGGCCAACGTGCGTCAGGAAGTCGATTGTTCTCCACCAATGAGTGTTAAGGTCGGTGTCATAGTGGATGGTGTCATCCACGCACCTTTCCTTCCGTTCAAAGTCGGAGAGGATTGCATCAATGCGGCGATTGTAGCCATCGACAGACGACAGAAAGCCCTGTGGGGCTCTGGTGTAACGCCAGCGGCCGAAGGGAGTGATGAAGGTAGTGAGATGACGGTCTTACTCGCGCAGGGGCACTCTGTGATACCCATTCCAGGCGTCAGTGACAGTCTTCCAGGTCCCTTTCGGGATCTGGCACGCCAGGTGGAATGGTGACTCAGTTGCGAAAGTCTCACGTTTGCAGAATTTGTTAAGAGGTGAGATATCGACGGTTCTGCGGGGGTTTCCGTCGTGCTTCCGGATGACTACCACCCGGTGGCACCAGGTCACTGGTTCGCCATATGGGACATGTTCGATGACGCCCAGGGACTGGTCCCGAAGTAGGTCGTCATGCACCCTCTGTTGCCAATGCATAGGCAAGGCCGCCACGGTGTGGCACGTCTTTGGCGTTGCCGCCAGGTCAACGTGTATTTCTATGGGTGGACCTTCCATGCATGGTAGTGGCCGGTGGGGGCAAGTGTTGAATGTTGACGATGCGTACCTGTCAAGCAGCCATGCCTTCACCCGGTGATTATTCTCTGGGGAGCATGGGAACGGCAACTCCGCGGGATGCAGAGGCGGGGCCCTGCGTTGAGGACATGAGCAACAAGCCACATAATGGGAAGCCATGCCTCCGTCGCAGACTTCTCCCAGGCATGAGACTTTGGTGAGTCCACCGCAACGGCTGGCGGCTTCATGAAGAAATGCACTCCTCGATGTCAAATGGTTTTAATGACAAGGATGAAGGAGCCCTGCAGCGACATACAAAGCTGAGTGAGCAGAAGCTAACGGCAGCGTGAAGCAGCAGCATGGGCTGAAGAACAAAGCTAAGCAATGTGATAAAATAGGTAAATAAATGCAGCGCAGCTTAGCATGCATACTGACAATGTGACCATTACATTAGCTTAACAAGCAGGTGAAGACTTACAGATACAAGTCGAACAGTAGCATAGATAGATAGCAGCGTGATGGTTGAGCAGCAGCAATCCAAATGAGAGGCAGCAGTATGTACAGTGAGGGATAGTCACATGTACGTAACTTCGGGCACATCCGTGCAGGGGATTGGTCACCTGTACGTGACTTCAGGCACATCCCTGAATACACCTTTTTCCCTCGAGGCTTGATCGCAGCACACCCTAGTGGCCAGTGGTGACCTCTGCAGCTTCCATCCGGTCCGGAGGCAAATCAGCAGAGCACAGGGTTAAAACTCCTCCCACAACGGGAGGCATTTGTGACTTCCTGTTGCAGATTGAAAAGCTGCATCTGCATGTGTTTCGTTTCAGAAAGCTGCATCTGCATTTGGGTCTGCGTGTCATTTTTCATCTGGAAAAACTGCATTTGCATTTGGGAGATCTGTATTTGCTGTAAAAGAGACCCCACTGTCAAAATACAACAGAAAGTAATGCAGAATTATTTAAAAGATTATACTGTTATTGAAAAGTTTGTAAAGATGAAATATCTGCATGTTTTTTTGTTTGTCTCCTGTCTCCTTCCTCCTCTTGTCTCCTGTTTCCTTCCTCCTCTTGACTCCTGTCTCCTTCCTCCTCTTGTCTCCTGTTTCCTTCCTCCTATTGTTTCCTGTCTCCTTACTTCTCTTTTTGTCTCCTCTTGTTGGTCTCCTCTCTTGCCTTCAGAAAAAAATGCTTTCTGGCCTTTCTATTAGTAAATTCATTTACAGTGTCATCAAAGTCCAAATTTCTGACAAGCTGAGATTCAATAGCTGTCAGTGACAGTGCACTGAGCCTCTCTGGGGATTATTTTGAGCTGTGAGCCACAGATCGTTGACGCGCTCCAGACAGATGCGTCCTGAGCAGGGCCACAGTAACGGTCAGCATATCTTTTAGAACTGCAGTTAAAAGGTAATTCATGAGGTGAAAATATGAGCATCAGTGAGTTTGCGGCCGCTGCGCAGGAGGAGAGAGCTGAAGCAGGCAGTAAAGATGCAAAAACTACCGTTGTTAAAAGAAATGTGTGTTAACTTAGAAAATGTGGGCGCAAGTTGAATTACTTGTCAACTTTTTTCTCCAATGTTGACTGCTGCACACAAAAAAAAGACCACTGCTCGCGTGGGCCCCCTTGTGGCTGTGCCCAGTTTGCCCGCAATATAATCCGGCCATGCGTTTATCATAAATTATTTATTGTATTCAGATTTCTGCTGAGGCACCTAGAAAGGATCACACTTTAAATTTTGTGCAATAAATAAATTTTAATCCACTAACTGATTCATAACAGAATAAATGCATGCTGAGTTTATGGTACAGCCACGTCTGATGCCTCATATTTTTAAAAAGATTTTGCAAAACATGTAAACTCACTTTAATCAAAGGACATGTTAACAGTGAAAATACAAGGCAAGAAACAGGAAAACACCACAGGTGTTTATTTGATTGAACTGTTGTTAACTAACAAACGACGGAGCTCATATTTGTGGTTAACGGTGAAACTGGTTCTGTTGGGGGGGGCATCAAAAGATTTTTGCCCCTTTGTTAAATAAAAGTTTACAAATGAAAACAGAATTCAGTTTTAATGTGAGACTTCAGTTGTTTTTAATCAAAATGAATGTTACTAATGTTTAATTTAGTTTAGATTATGAGTTAATTAATTAGAGACGAACTTGGAGATTTAAAATGTGAAATCAGGTTTTCTACGTGGAACTTCAGTCCACCTGACGGTTTGCACACAAACACATAAATGTTCTCCAGAACATGTACTGTCCGAGTTAAGAACAGGTCACCAGACAGAATAAATAACTGCTATACACGTTTAATGTGCTTCTGCGAGAACTTGTGAGGAATGGGCTGAAAACGCTGTACACTAAACCTCCAGCTCTTAACAGAACATTCAGACTAGAAATATTTGTTTAACTTTGTTTATATCCAACATCATCATCATCATCATCATCATCATCATCATCACTCGGACTCCTTTCGTCATCACCTCCGCGTTACAACAAGCGGTTCCGTTAGTCCTTCACAACTACATATTTACATTAGAAATGTGGTGACAGCTAGTGTTAGTGCACAGAAGAAATAGAGAACATCGGAAATGCTCCTCAATCCCCCCCCCCCCCCCCCCCCCCAACTCAAGCTTCAATTACAATCAGAGGCATCAATGAGCTCAGATGATCCCACGTGACTTCAGATGGTCTAGGACCAACACATCTTTAGTGAAGACTGACTGGTCCCAGTGGTGCTCCTGTTCTTCAGTTCTGCTTGCAGGTGGGACGGGGTAGAATAAAACACTGTTTGGTCAAAAACACTCATTTGGAAGAAAAATAGATGATAAGACCCAGGACCAGGAGTACTATAGAAACAACAATGGCCAGAATGCACATCTTCTTCCTGGACTTTTGCTGTGAGAAGGCAGAGACAGCAGAGAGAGAGAGAGAGAGTTAAACGCCCATTGTTAAAGCTTCCTGCATGTTTCCTCAGACTCTGATCTAAACTGCAGCCTGTGCTGTTTTGTTTTTACTGCTGTCATCAGCAGTTCACCTCTTAGAGGACTCTTTCTCCTATAAAGAGTGCAATGTTTCTGTGTTAAAGGCCAAGTTCACTGAGACATGTGAAAATAGTCTTCTACCCCTATTTCCTGCATCAGCTGCTGATGGAAAATAGACGAGGAAACTCGGATTAGAAAAGCCACTGCAAAATGTGTAGAAAACACAAGTGAACTTGGTCCTTAAGTCAGAAACAGGCTTGACTCCTTTGTTTCGGGGTTCTCACCTTTGCAAGAGTGAAACCATATTCTAATCACCCGCATGCCTCTTGGTGAGAGCATTTTTCCACCACAGAGGTTCTTTAACGACAGAAGATGGAAGAGAAGAACTCACCTGATACATAGCTGCCCTCTGCAGCTGCTCTGCTCCTCGTTCCACGTGAACTTCAGCGTTCTCCACATTTGCCTCGATGCTATCTGCAGCAGAACACAAGATCAGCTAACAGGAACAAGACAAAGCTGCCATAGAATCCATGGGCGTCATTTCTTTTGCCCACCCCTTCAGACAGAAGGATGGAAATGGAATAAATCAGGAGCATGAGAAGGGTTCCAGATGGCTACCGTTGCCCCTGATGACTCAGTCACTATTTTCATGGAAAACCTGTACATTTTGTGAACAGCGACACAAGAGTGAGGACCTCCCTGATGCTCAGGAGAGAGGTGAGAACTAAAGGGTGGCGACATTTCAAATATACTCATTCTGGTTAAGGTCAGGAGGCCTAGCAGGAAGCACAGACCAACCTTTCCCCTGCCACTCCCACCAGCTCCTCCCGTGGGACAAAAGCAGTTCCCAGACCAGGTCAGAGATACATTCCCTCCAGTGCACCATGGGTCAACCTGGATGGGACATACCCAAAACACTTCCCACAGTAGGGATCTTGGCCAAATGCTCCAGTTAGCCGCTCTGGACATGGACAGCAGTCCCACTCCGCAGGTTGTCTGATCTCTGAGGCTGGGCCCAGACACCCTGCAGAGGAAGCTCTTTTTGGTTCTCTGGCCCTGGTGGAGGAGCCGTGGACGCCTCAGAGACAGCAGCTGAGAGACAGACTCATCAGCCTATCTGACACTTATTACTACCAGAATTGTCCTAACAGACTCCTTCAAGATAATTCCTTCTCCATACGTTTTTCCATCTACACCAAACAAGAGGTTTAATCAACTCCAGGAAGACTGGGATAGACAACATTATAAAAGTGTTTGATTCACTAGGTGAACCCGAAAAACGACTCTTCAATCAACCAACAAAAACAAACATGGCCTCCTGTACATCCTTAGGTGATTATTTAACAATATCAAATGGCCCAAGTGGCTGGGGAGAGGGAAGTCTGGGCCTCTCTGCTTAGACTGCTGCCCCCACGACCTGACCCCGGATAAGTGGAGGGAAATGAATGGATGGATGGGATACATATACTGATCCAAACAAAGAAGTGGATAAACTAAATACCACAGAATTTATTACAGGTGGAAAAAAATCCAGTAGCCAATCACAAAGCTTCTTTAAGACCAATTTTTACAAGTACACACATGGCCACCTGACCCAGTATCCAGAATACTGCAACCAGTACAGAACCACTCACCAATCATCTCCCCTTGGTCGTGGATCATCACAGCCAGGTCCTTAAAGATCTGGTTCACATCCATGATGTCAGACTGAAATTAACCAACAGAAATCAGCTGCTGGTCCTCCAGTTGGTAGTGATGTCACAGGAGGTAACAGGAAGTGACGTCTCACCTCCAGCTGTCTGATGTTGGTCTCTCTCTCCTTGATCAGCTCCAGGTCCTCCTCCGTGACACCGACCTCCTCTGTCTGAGTCAGCTGACCAAAATCCTCTTGGCTTCACAAAAACAAAGGATAAAAGAAAGTCTTGTAACTTTTACTAACCCCTAAGTGATGAGAAGCACAGCCATCGTAGCCATCAGTAGGGACTCCAAGCTCAACAATTATAACGACTCATCCTTTATTCACATTTAACTCTTTGGTTACAAAGTTCCTCGAGAGACCAGATGGAAATCGCTTACTTATCAAACGAAACAAGCTTCTCATCACGAAAATTGTCTTCTGCCTAAAAGAGAAGACAAAGACACACGTTAGCCGATCCATCCTCAGTACATCAACAAGTGATTTCTGCTCCCAAGCAGAACATTTGACCTTTGACCTTAAACAGGAAGCTTATGCTGGGAAACCCTCCAATGTGGCAGCATTTAAACAATCCTGCAGAGAAGAGTGGGACAAAGATCCACCATGGTGATGTGAGAGGGTGTTAGAGCTAGCTTCCCAGTTTATTTTAGGGTTGATTTGAAGATTTGAATTCTTGTTTTTAAATGTTTGAATGGCCTTGCTCCCTCTTACTGCCGGTTTATCCCAGATCTCATCTCATAACCTGGGGCAACAGAGCCGCATCCTCTTGGTATAAGGAAGGCCAGAATGTTGGAAGATTTTAAACCTCGTTTCAAGACCCATCATTTTAAATTGGCTGTTTACTCCAGCTGATCAGAAACTGCCAAGCCGCCTTTTCTTAGCCATTTTAGGTTTGGTTAAGTTCTTGTTGACTGACCTGTACAGCACTTTGGTCTCCTTGTGATATATAAAGGGTTACTATTATTATTATTATTCTCTTACTTTGGTGGTGTGTGTGTGTGTGTTAAGGCTGTATGCTGTTGTCTCTCACAAATGTTTTTGGAGTACTTCAAATACTACCATAGTTTCCATTTTAGCACAGGTTCCAGTGGAAAACAACTCCTGTTTTATGCTCTTTTATTAATCACAATCAACATACATACATAAATAAACAAACAAATAAATAAATAAAGATTCCAATTCTGGGATCAGTCCAGTACATATTACCATTGCCTTGTCAATAACAAATAATTGATCCTTACCGATAGTCGAGATCCAGCCCTCGCTCTGGCTATCGACTCCCTCTCTTTCTCTGCTGCACGCCGCTGGACAGCCTGGAAGTTGTTGAGAGCGGCTGAGAAGTCATTCATGAGCCGCTCCCTCTGGATCTTCTGCTGCCTCTGGACACCACAGAACCAGACATCAATCATCCAATCCAACAAGCAAACCCAAACAAGAGTCAACAGCACAATCTGCCAAGGAGGTTTGGGAAGTTTTTCATGGAAGCAACCCACACACTCCACTGTTCTACAAATGTTTCTCCATTCAAGGAAACAGTCACACTTATCAATGATATTAAATTTATTACAGGAAGAATGTTACAACAGAGAAACATTGATCCTTAAAAGGGCTAAATAGCTAGCAGTTAGCTTAATTAATTCACCAGCTGTCAATGAAGAACACAAGAAGAAGAAGAAAAAAGCTTGTTTTTGTCAGCACCATGGTGGAGCCTGGAGGTAATAGTTGGAGTGTTTTGTCTTTGGAGGTGAAACAAAGAGCTTAAACCAGAGTGAACCTCACCATGGCCTACACTCATTGGAGGAAGCTAAAGGAGGCTACGAAATCACAGACTGATGGTGACCTGACTTTGTTGCTACTGGATTTTAGTAATATTATTTTTTGTCCAACAGTGTGGACATTTTTAATTTGGGGCTTACTTAGTAAGACTTGCCTCATGTTGGTGCTAGCTTGTTGTTAGCGCTAGCTACAGCAGCCTGCTGCAGGGTTGCTTACAACAATTGTAATTCCACTTTGAACCAGTAGGACGGAGAAGCTAGAAACTGTTTAGTGTTACTTTACAAACCCTTTGTCCAGAAGTCGAGTGCTGGGTTTTAGGATTGCTTCGAGGTATAAATAGGTAGCTTACTATAAACATACCAATGACAGCAGACTGGAAATATGCTTTTCTTATCATGTATTCAGTAAATATGTCAACATGAAAACTCAGAAGAACAACACAGTAGTTTTCCAACTTCTGTAGAGACAAATAAGACAAGACTGTATGAAGTAAACTTACAGTGGCTGAAGAAAAACTAAAGCAACATCACAGTAATAGATGTACTGTAACTTTATTATTATTACTGTCTGGCTAGATCAGACACAAGATTTTATCCATATCCCATCATGTCTTTAGTGGCATCTGATTGTTATGCTTTCAGTTAAACAGGTGTGTGTTTCCACACAGGCCAGGGCTGTTTGGACAAGATGTAGCCTCACAAACCTCATCTGTGAAAATGTGTGTAGAGTTTTGCACAAAGTGTAAAGAAGACATTAACCCTTTGATGCATAATGCTCACTACAGTGGACAATTAAGCACAGCTGTTGAAGACCTTGTTGCATTTTTGAGCCCCTCCATTTGGACTTCAGTAAGTCAAGCCAACATATTTCATGTTCAGAATGCACGCTGTCCACTGAGGTGGACATGTAGTAAATTAGTTGTAAATTATTAAATGTTACAAAAAATATTTGTTGAAATTTGTTTCATTCACACCTAAAGATGAATGAAAAAACTTGTTTAAAAAATCATGGTTGAAGATTTCATAATTCATGCATCGAAGGGTTAATGTTGAACAAATCAGCAGAAGTATTATTCTCCTTGGGAGTGGACTGTTTTATTTTATGGTGTAAACAATCATAAAAACTGTAGAGTCACGCAAAGATACTCCGCGGGCCACCTGCAGCATCCCTCATCCATTAACCCCTAACAGGTGTGTCAACAGAGCTAATCGGGGTAGACGTAAACCCAAGGGAGGCGTTGATGTACCTGCTCCTGTAATACTAGTGTTAGTCTCCATTAGGTGTGTGTGTGTGTGTGTGTGTGTGTGTGTGTGTGTGTGTGAGCCCGTGCACACGTGTGTGCGCACAAGTGTGTGATGATGACAAATATTTACAGACTGAGTCCTCAACAGAAGTGCATCTTTCTATCTTTCCATTTTTTAATTAAAAACCAAAAAACAAATGTTTTTTTTTATTGGATGCAAAAAAAAAAAAAGTCCAATTTTAGTCTCAGGACACGTTACGAAATGGAAAAATGGGCCACAGGACCAAATATGATTTTAATTAGTGATGTCAAAGTCAAAGCAAACATCTGGTCTCTGATTGGCCAACAGCCAAGTGACTGTTCCACTGCCTTTGTTCCACTTTATTATGTTATAAAACATCAGCGTTATATTATTTTATTATAATTTATGATTTTATTATGATAATATAACGCTGATGTTTTATAACATCAGCGTTATATTATTTTATTATAATTTATGATTTTATTATGATAATATAACGCTGATGTTTTATAACACAAGCCTGAAGATGTTCAACCATGTTGTGGAGTCACAAATGCTAATGGTTAGCTTCTACTAGTCGGGATACACTCTGCTCTCTCTTTCCTGTGGGCAGTCCCAAGCCAGGGTGGGCGGGGCCTGTGACAGAGACTGGCTTTCTCTGACTTGCTCATTTCCATATCTATTTTCCTTCTATTCCAGCAAATATGGTTTGTAGACTATTTTCATGCTCAGCATGCAGGTGAAACTCAGCATGACCAATCGCATTTTAAAAAGGAAGTATGGTTCTTTGGTGAACAAGACCTTTAAGAAATAAACAGCTCTATGATCTTTTTCCAGACGTCCTATAAAAACACTATTAGCTCTGATTGTTGCTCATCACCATGAAGGTCAGTTGGCTGGAGACAAAAATCACCTTACTGAGTACACTGGCAAGGAACTTGTCCACATAAACTTGACCCATGAAATATAAAATCTTATTTGGCCCTGCGGCCAGTCTCTCCTTTTGTATTTTTGATCAGACAGTAAAACTGAAAACTATAAAAAAATAAACTGACCAATTGAAACACAAACAACAAAAACACCAGCCATCTTTTAAGTTTTATGGTCCTGTGAACCTTTCATTTTACTCTACACAGATATGTGAACACACACACACACACACACACACACACACACACACACACACACACACACACACACACACACACACACACACACACACACACACACACACACACACACACACACACCTGCTCAGAGGGCGAAGAGGGCAGAGGGGTGGAGCCAAGGTCCTTAAGGTGCTTGTTGGTTTCTTTTGCAAGCTGATTGGTGTAGTGCTGAATCTGCTGCCTAGAAAAACAAGTTAGAAGGAAACGTCTGGAGACTAAGCAGGAACATGCACAGTACAAATGACTAGATCTAAACCATTAAAAGGGTCGGTTTGTCCAACACTGAACCAGTATGGCTGTCCATTGCGTTTACAGAAACTCCATTTACATTAAAAATGTTAATCAGGTCAAAGAACAGCATCAGGACTCAGACCTGCTCTCAGACTGAGGTCCAACAGAACCGGTTCTGTGAGACTGTGGTTCTAGAAAATAGAAGAATACCAGAGAAGGTAGATCCCACTTACAGCTGGTCCTGGAGCTCGCTGGTGTCTTGTCTGGTCCCCAGCTGGTTTACCATGGTCTTGATCTGGGCAGCTGTCATGGGAGCACAAGAGAGCTGTTAGGGTTCTACTGCAGGTTCTGATCCCACCACACACCATGAGATGGAACCAGGACCAGTTCTGACCCTGTTAGAATCTGAACCAGGCAGCGATGTGTCGTCAGTGCCAGCACGGCATCCTCTGGCAGAATAACTGACTCAGATCTACAACCTAAAATATAACATTTGTTCAGTGAAATAGTGTTAATTCACTTCCAACAGATTTTATATGGGGAACGATGGTGGCAGAGAGGCTCAGTGCCCATCCCGTAACCGGAGGGTTAAAGGTTCACGTCTCAGGCACTTCCCCTCCTTGTCTGCTGCTGGTGGTCAGTGGGACTGGTGGCCTCGCATCTGTAAGTGTGCCCCAGGGTAGCTGTGGCTACAATGTAGCTCATCACCACCAGCGTGTGAATGGGTAAATAACTGGTGTGTTGTAAAGCACCTTAGGGGGTTGTCGGACTCTGGAAGATGTTATATAAACACAGGAATGTTTCTCTGTGTCGTTGTCGGTACAGGATCGGCTCGGGGTCCTTCGACTGCCGATGACGTCAAAGTAGTTGATTTGCTGAACATGAAGCTTACGGATGTTACATTATCACGTTATGATTCTGATTGGTCAGAACAACTTTGCGGCCGTAGTCTTAGCGATTGTAGTCCTGTAGTCTAAAAATCAACTCTTTTTGGAGAAAACGTTTGAATTTCCAAAGGAAATGTAAAATATAAGCAAATGATAAACGGTGAGCCTCAAAAGCGCTTGATGTTGATGAAATGGGGCAAAATAAAATATAAGAACTTTATAGAAAGACACCAAGCAATATTTTGAGTCAAAGAATGTATTTAGATAACAACTAAGGAAATATACAGACGACCTCCACATTAATACAAACAGAAATGGCTTCACATATAAGAACTGTTCTAATTTGTCAGTCCGACGTTGGTTTTATGCAGTTTCACATTCTTTACAAAACAAAAATAATATGGTGTTTTATTAACAAATTACAATTATAAAGAAAACAATTAGGTGTTAACAAACAAGAATTTATTAACAAAACTGCTGATGTCTTTCCAAAACGTATGTGTGAAAGCCGAGTAGATTTGCAGTAATGTGACGTCATCGGCAGTCGAAGGACCCCGAGCCGATCCTGTACCGACACCGTGTCCTCTACATCTGGATTTTTCTTCCAATCAGATTTCAGCCTCTATTGATGCCAGGGAGAGTCCAATCTGCCCAAAGCGTTCAGAATCAGTAGAACGGGCCTTTGTTAGTTATACCATATAGTAGTGGTAGAGTGATTTATCGCCCAATGCCAATATACAGTATCTCCTTAGTAAAGCAGATTTAAAGTCAGGCACATCCTCAGGCAGCCTGGTGCTGCTGCAGAGTTATGTTCCTGAGTAACTTCTGCATAACAAATAATTTTGTTTGATTCACTTGAGTTAGATGTCTGATTTTAACACTGAGCCGTGCACAAAATTAAGGTTTAACAGTTGGTTAAATTACAAGTTCAAAAACTGATTTAGCTTCAGAAATTTTGTGTATCAACTGATGTCTAGATATCGGCCATCAGCTGACCATTAGCTCTGCTTATCGGCATCAGTAATAGAAAATCCAACATTGGTTAACCTCTACTATGGGATCTGGTTTTTTTAACCAGTGAGCTTTCAGAATCACATCGCTGAGCCAGGTAGTTGGCTCACGGTGACATCAGGGGTTTTTTGTCCTCCGATTGGTCCGACGGTCTGAGAGAAGCTATCTCTACCAAGTGTCGCTAGCAAAACACATTCTTGTGAGCCATGCACATTAATACTTTTGATGTTACTTATTTTTTATGCCCACAATGGCTGATGGAACGGGATGAATGGATTTGGTCTCAGGAAGTATTCCATTTTCAAGTCGTACTTTCTCAGAAAAGCTGGACATGCTAGCCCGCTGACGGAACTAAAACACAGAAATCAGCTTTATATCACTTAGGTTTTCCTGCAAAAAGTGAGAAGTAGGGGTGCACCGATTGCAGTTTTTGGCCAATCACCGATCTTGAGAAAAACCTGACTTGCCGATATCGATTTTGTCTTAACGAAAAGCAAATTATATCAATGTTTCAATTTCCTGTCATTGAGAAAACCAATACAATACTCATTAAACAATACCAGTTTCAACTGGACATGAGGTAATGTTCTCAAATGTAAATTAACATATTTAGCATTGTTGTTTGAACTACAAAATCATATTTGTTCCTTTAAGCCAGGCGGGCACTGTGCGACTCTTTCACTTTTTTGAGCCGATTTTCCCCTCGTGCGAGAATCTACAAGATCGGGGCAAGTTTTGTGCAGAGCGTCGTGTAGTATACAGGTGGTTACGAGAGGCAATTAACACCACGTGACCAGCTACCTATCAGCAATCGTGAGCTCGCACTGATTTCTGGCATGTTTGATATTTTGCTCGTCCCTCGTGAGGGTTGAAGCAGCGCTGCGAGTGGCTGCAACCCAAAAAGTACCAAAACCGCTCACGGCGCATGCGTCATGCGTCAGCACGGCTTGCCAGCTATTTCTCTATTAACACATGTCGTTTGTTTTTATTTCTACACTGTTTTTCACACACAATGACAAGAAAGCATGTTTGCCATGTTTATGTCAAATTAAACAGTTCACAAAACACTGATTTACTTTCTTTCTTTCATTATCCTCATCCAACCCCCATAAATCCCTGTGTGTACTCCTGCAGCACTCCAGAGGGACAACAGACATCAGTAACAACACAAAAAAAAATTCCCCTCATAATTATTAGTAATTGTTAATAATAATTAAGTGACACCACACCCTGTTACATACTCACTCCCCCCTTATTATTAAATAATTTTGTTGTAAAACGAGAAACTGATCATTCATCAAGAGACCTGCTGTTCACACCTCTGAAGAAATAACATTAAAGAAGCCAAAAAGACTGAAGTGCGACCCTGGAGAGATGATGATCAGTGGATAATACCGTGGGGATAACAAACAGGCTATAAAGCTCATTCACATGGTCATCACGTGACCATGTGGCATGTGATTTCCCACCAGGCTGAAGCGCGAGGAACAGGAGAAACCTCTTACTGTTCTGTGTGATCTTCTGGATGTTTGAGCTGCAGGACTGGATGAGAAAGCTGAAGTCCATGTGAACCGGGCGGAACTCCGCTTTTCCGTACATGTTTGCGACTGTTAGGAGCTTCCTGACACGTTAAACTGGAACTGCAAAAGAAAATGGAACAATAAACATTGCATTATTGAACGATTTGGCTTAACGACATAATGGTTTAAGTAAGTTTTAAGGGTCTAAAGATTTAAACTCGTTTCCCTTTTTGACTCTGTCACGCGTATGAATGACGTTTGATTATTTCAGTAATGAGCTCAAAGGTCCAATCAAGTCAGATTATCACTTATTTATCACCGCTAAGCAGTTAAACTAAATGTAAATGTAAACAAATGTCCGAACACCGAGTTAGCGAACAGACCAGTTTGCTGTTTAAACGCCTTTAAATTAACCCCATAATTAATCAATAACAATAAGGAACGGAACACTTCAACAAACCGTCGTATCTGTTTAGCTCAGCTAGCGTTGTGTTGGTAGAACGGAGAAGCTAAACCTTCGTTTTAGGCTAACGGTGGCGAACTTGTCTACTTTCGTCTTTTTACAGTAAAAACTGCTCGTAAACTGGACACGCAGAGCGTGGTCAATTAAAACAAAGACGAAATTCTACATTAAAACAAGGCATCATGCTGTAATTTGCTTACTAATGTATTGAAATCGATACATGGGCGTAGATGACTCGTCCTCCGTTAGGTTGATGCTATATTGCATTAGCGCTAAGACCTCACAGACCAACACACCCTAACAACCAATACCAGGATGCTACTTCAACAGCTCAACCAATCACAATGCAGCGTCCCACCCATTTTATCACGGCCTCCAATCATAGGTCAGAGAGCCAAACCTACTTCCTGGTCCGTGGTGTTTTTTTAATTTATTAATTTTTTTTACAGGTTTTATTCAGAAAACACATTCAATAAATCCATGGATCACATTTTACAGTTGTTTAGAATTGCAATAATATACATGCAACATTAGGAAACTATTAAACAAAAAACCAAGAAATAAAAAAAACTGACGAAAACATATATAACTTAGAAACATAACACTTAGGGGTCTGCTGTGTCTAAGTTGAAATGATGAAATAAGTTGATGGTCTTTGTTAGTTTGTTGTTCTTCATTTTTAATTTTTCAATGCTGTTCCAATATTTCATAAGGTCTGTAATTCTGAAATTATAGAAGGGGATACTTTTCTGAAAAATCATTTTATGTAAATAATATTTTGCTAAAATAATGACTAAGTTAATTATGTATTTTTCATTGGATGATAAATGAGGGTTAGTAACAATAAGAAGTATTTCATATTTGCTTAAAGAAATATTTTTTTTGTAACTTTTTGGAAATGTATCTTTTTAAATGGAACCAAAACAAAGTTACATGAAAGCAATCAACAAAAACATGTTCAATAGTTTCTCCCTTACAACCACAGAAAGTACATATGTCAGAAACATTTGGAAAAAAATACAGATGTTTGCTTTTGACGGGTAATATCTATGAACAATTTTGAATCAAATTTCTTTTATCTTATTCACAATAACATATTGGTGAGGTAGCAGAAAGATCCTGTTCCAGAGTTTTGTATTCATAAAAGTCCATCAGTGTTTACATATCGGGGTTGAGACAGGATCAATTACTTTTCTAATAACAGAATTATTAAATTTCTTATCTGTGATTGGAATCCCAGAAATAGTTGGAGGTCTGGCTGTTGCAGATAAGATGATGTTTGATTGTATGGTCTGTGTTAAATAGAAAATACAAACATAGATGGATTTAATTACCATGTTATACTCTTCTTGTGAAGTATTAATGTTATATTTTTCTAAGAAGACTTTGTGGGATAATGTTTCGCCATTAGTATTTAGTAGATTATTCACAGTGTTTACATTGGGGCAGCAGTAGCTCAACAGAGCGGGTTGTCCAGTAATCGGAAGGTTGCAGGTTCGATCCCGGCTCCGGACAGAGAACTCTGCTGTTGTGCCCTTGGGCAAGACACTCAACCCACCTTGCCTGCTGGTGGTGGTCGGATGGACCGGTGGTGCCTGTGCTCGGCAGCCTCGCCCCTGTCAGTGCTCTCCAGGGCAGCTGTGGCTACATTGTAGCTCATCACCATCAGTGTGTGAATGTGTGTGTGTGAATGGATGAATGATACACTGTAGTGTAAAGTGCTTTGGAGTCCTTACTCTGAGAGGCACTATACAAGTGCGGGTCATTTATCATTTACATTATTTAATGACCAATTGTGTAGAAAGAGTGTTTTATTTTTGTTTACAATATATGTATTGTTCCAAATAATACAATTGTGAAGTGAGAAGTTGTGTTTAAAGATAAGATTCCAACATAATAAAGCTTGTTTATGAAAATTACTTAATTTAACTGGGAGTTTTCCTACTGACAAAGGACATTTCAACAGAAAGTTAAGTCCACCAAAAGCATTAAATAGATTATTTGGGATAATATTCCATATGCTATTAGGGCTTTTAATGAATCTTTTAATCCAATTGATTTTTATAATTTGGTTAAATGAGGTAAAGGTCAGTACATTAAGGCCCCCCTCAGCCACTGGATTTGAGAGAACAGATCTTTTTACCTTGTCAGGCTTGTTTTTCCATATAAAATTATAAAGAATTTTATCAAGTTGGGAGCAAATGGATTTGGGAATATCTAAGATTGAGAAAACATAGGCTGCTCTAGACATTCCCTCTGCCCTGCTTATCAGAACTCTACCGTATATAGATAAATCTCTGGAGGCCCAACAATTAAACTTAGTTTTAATAGCCTGAGTCACTGGGAGCATATTTAAGTCCGGAGTTTCTCTGTTATTTTTTGATATCTTAATGCCTAAATAAGTTACTATGTTTTTAATAGGAATGTTACATATTTCAGATTGGCAGCTGTCCTTTAGGGGTAGAATTTCACATTTTTTGATATTTAGATTTAATCCTGATATTTTTGAAAATTCAGATATTTTAGATAAAGCTGTGGGTATTTGTTCAATATTTTGCAGAAACAAAGTAGTGTTGTCTGTTGCGAAATCTTGATTTCTTTGTCAAAAATTTGTATTCCCTTCAAAGGTGATTGTAGTATTAAATAGTTTAATATGGGCTACTAGCAAGAAGATATAAGGGGAGGCTGGGCCCCCCGACGCACCCCTTTTTCTACGTTAAATCTTTGAAATGTGCCACACATGAGTTTGACTGAGCTATTGTTGTTTCTATAAAGTGTTTTCACTGCTTTGATGAAAAAAATACCAAAGTTTAAGAAGGTTAAAGTATCAAATATAAATTCATGGTTAATTGTGTCAAATGCCTTTTGAAAGTCTAAAAAAAGAATAACTGGGTCCCCAGAGAGTAATTAATTATAATTTATCAAGTCCAAAACTAATCTAATATTGTTAGAAATATGACTTCCAGGTAAGAAGCCATTTTGGGCTTCATGGATAATGTCATTAATTCCATATTTTAGCCGTTTGACTATTACTGAAGCAAGAATTTTGTAATCGTTGTCCAGATCCCGTTGTCGTTATCCTACCACATCCCGGACGAGCCCCCAAATTGTTGAGGTCAAAAATGATGGATACGGACCTCCCCGAGTTGGTTGATGTGGATGGAAACGACCGAGTCAAAACTAAGGATCGAAACAGCTTTAATGCACGATCAAAAGAGAGTGGAGACCAACACGGTGTACATACATTAAGTGTTCACGCGGCGTGCTAGCAATGGTCTGACCCGAACTGAAGATGACAAGTGTTTAAGTATGTGTCTGGCTCGTTCCCCTGTGGTGTATCTTATTGTGATAGGTCGAGGAGCGCATGATCGGCTCATGCACTTGTTTCTGATTGGGTGTTGAGTGCGTGTGCAGCTCATGCTGGATGCATGAGCTGTGAGTGTGTGTGAGTGTTGTTTGTTTTGCTCTAACGCTTTGCTTCCTCCAGGCGCAGCTCATGTGGTAGAATGTTCCAACTGTAGCTGGGACTTTCCGTGTCTTTGGGGGCCTAATTTGACTGTTGTCAGGTTGAGTCAGACCAGGCTTTGCACTCACATGGGTGTCTCAAAAGGTCACATCTGAACGTTGTGTGCTGTACAGTATATTGGCAAATATGTCATATGTCTCAACAGCCAAAAGGAATTTTGAGGTTTCTACAGTAAACGTTTGGTAAAATTCACCTGTGAGGCCATCATTACCAGGTGATTTGTTGAGTTTAAGATTTTTAATTCCCCATTTTACTTCCTCAATGGATAATGGTTCATCATACTCTTCTCTAAGAGTGGTGCTTGCTTTTTTGACATTGTCAAGCGAATTAAATATATTGGATGAATCAGAACATGTTTCCATTTTGTAGAAATTAGCATAATATTTGGACACAAATTTGGATATAGTATTATAGTCTGTTGTTATGGCATTTCCTATTTTTAATTTATTTAGGGTACTTCTTTCAATGTTTCTTTTTTCAATGTTAAAAAAATATTTACTGTTTTTCTCTCCTTCTTCCAACCATTTTAGTCTTGATCTTATGAATGTGCCTTTAGCTTTTTCCTTATAAATGTCATCTAATTCAGATTGAAAGTTTAGCTGTAATAATTTTTCATTATCAGTAAGATTCAGAGCGATTTTCAATATACATTTAATTAAAAATTCTATTCTAGCTTTTCTTTATTTAGCTAAGTCTTTGCTGAAACTAATGGCATGTTTTCTAACTTCATATGTGAACAGTTCCCAATGTTTCCCAAACTCATTTGTAGAGACTGCTTGTTCCCAATATCGTTTTAAAAGTCTGTAGTTTCTATAAAGCTACTATTATTCAATAAAGAATTATTAAATTTCCAATAGTTAAATTGTTTTGTTTTATGCTGTTGAGACAGACTACATTTAATAAATTTTTTTTTTATCTGTCATAATAGTAGGACTTATTTTCACTTCAGTGACCTGTTCATGAAGGTTATCAGAGACCAGCCACAAGTCAATTCGGGAACAGCGCGATAGATCTTTATTATTCCATGTGTATTGTTTCGCTGTTGGGTTATGATGTCGCCAAATGTCCATTAAGTTTAATCTTTTGCTAAATTTAATAAGATTGTTTTCCTCATCTCTACATTTAGAATATTTCCAGTTCTTGAGACCATACCATATTAAAATCTCCTCCCAAAATAATGTCCGTGGTGTTGAGTCTCTTCGTTTAGTTAGTTTACACTTACAATTCTGGTAGAAAAAAAAACGTATCTACAAACAGAACATCTGGCCAACATGTGGCTACATTAGGACTTATGGGAATAAGTGACATACCTTTAAAATTAGATTTCCTTTTAGCAACAGGTACGTTTTTTTAATTCCATTATACGTATCTACCCTGAGTACATGTTTAGAACTGTTCTACTCTTTTTGACTTACACGTTAAATCTATTTGCTGATAGCAGTATGTTCTGGATCATGGTCCAGTTCTACATCAGGCAGAAAACTAGAAAACCAGAACTTCAGTCTAAAGAGGAGGGTTTAGTACGTGTTTTGCTGGATGAGGACATAAAGACTTCACCTGTTTATGCTGCTCCAGGAAAATGTTTTGAATATTTTATAATTTCTCTATAACTACTAGATTTGTGTCATGTCTATGATATTTTTTCATCAGTTTGTTTATTCTATTATTTATGCTAATTAACCCAAAAGTTCAGTAGATACTTTTTTTTTAAAATAACATCTGGCAAATTTTTCAAGGACATTTGGAATGGCCTACAAGCAAGATGCCTACCGAGAGTAACGGTTTTATTTACATTTGGTCATTCCCTTATTTTTTTTTTTTTTTAGAAGTAACATAATTCCAATCTGACTCACAAATCTCAGAGCTGGATCATGGAGATGAGGGTGAGGTTTGTTTGCTTCAAGGTAAGAGCCAAAAACTGCCATCGCTCATGATGTCATGTCATAAAACTTTGGGGTAGCATCATCCTGTCTATACTTGTGTGAAAGCAAAGAGTTGGTTGGTAACACAATCTAAGGGTGGATCTGTTAGTCAGGAAGCACTGATGACTTCGAGTAAGTGTTCTGCAGGCAGGACTGGGATGATTTAAATCCAGAAATTTGTCACTGAGGCATGTGAGACATGATGGTAGAATTGATATGTTGTTAATAAAGTTGCTAAAACATTTTAATCTTCATGATAACATTTTGCAACACGACCTTCAGTCACAAAGCTTTATTCTAATGCTCCACTTTTTGTAATCTTTTTCTGGGATGTCTTGAAAACAACAAAGGAAGATGAAACAACCTTCTGTGATCCATCCACGTCTGCTGGTGAAGTTCCGTTTCCTCCCTGACACATTATATGGCAGGAATTGATGGACCATTTAATTACTGAATGTGTGATGTCTACATCATCAAAGAAAGATTAATACTTGCATTAGGGCTTATTGTTTGTCATTCTTTTACTGTGTTCAAATTATGAATTGTATTTTTGATTTTCATTAACATTTAAAAGGAGTCCACAAATAATATAATATGGAAACAATTCATTAAAATAAAACACCTATGGAAAAGTCAGACATCCGTTCAAATTTTCTACATACATGCACCAAACAAATGAATGATCATAGGTTTCAGCCTGATAAGAAAACACAGCATCACTGTCTCAGCTGGTCGGTTCCAGTTTCACTCCAATGTGAACTAAACTAAATCAGAAAATTTCAAAATTTGTGATTTTAAGAACATTTGGTTTGTGTGACATCTGTAACCACCGATGTGTAGATTATTCTAGTGGCCTTTTTTTTCTTCTTCTTTTTTTTTTTTTTTTGTAAAATAGATAAAAATAAACAGTTATGAGCAGTACTGTTTTTGACATGGGCGACCTGGGTAATGGCCCAGGATGGCATCATGAGAGGGGTGGCAAAATGGGTACGAAAAAAAAACTTATTTTGGGAGCGCAGTGCCTGAACATTATGCTGGTGTGTGTAACTTTTGGAAACATTTGTTCTGCTGCGTGCTGCAGAGGGAGGAGGACAGGTCTGCTGAAGCGGCTTGAGTGAAGCAGCATCTAAAAGTAAAGTGTGTTCGCCCAGGGCACCGAACAGGCTAGGACCACCCCTGGTCATTGTTGCCCCAAATCTCTGCACAGTAATTATGAGTTTAGTGTTGTTTATTATTTCCACGTATGCTTTACTTTGGTATTGAAATGCTTCTGGAGATGCTATATGATATTTCCACCTTATTTTATTGTTTGACACCATTTAATGGTATTTGCGAATTAATTTAATTATTCCCAAATAACATTTTGGTCATTAACTCATGTCACGTAAACAAGCGTGCGACACTAGCACGTCCTGCGTCATCAGCCTGCGACAATAACGTGATAGGACCATATACATAGCTGTGGATAGGACCCTAGGACCTCTACTGCAAACAAGTGACCGGTGAAAGAGGTTTGTAACGTTTTATACTGACTTAATAAATGATGACAGTAGCGCTGTTTTGAACTAAATGTGTAAAGAATAGCCGAATACTAATATAAACATGTAAAAGGTTTCCAAGTAGCTCCACGTGCTCAATGTGCTGCTGCTACTACTGCTAATAATAACAATAACATTCACTCGTTAGATTTCATCACACAGCCAGGAGGTCTTTTAAAGTGTTAATTTATAAAGTGCTAAGTCTTCATAACGGAAGTTACGGTGTAACTATGGTTCTGTGAGTTCCTGGATGACTGCCAGTCACAGGGGTCACTCGGAACTTCTCGGGCGAGAAGATCCCGGGAGACCCGAACGTAGCTATCGGCGCGTAATTTATAGACTCGCGACCAGGTGCGCTACGTGTCACGTGCGTGACTTTGTTTACATTAGTACTCGACCTGCGCAGAGCGCGAGGAGATACATCCACTCTGTTTACTGCCACTGGCAGTCAGGAGGGAACGAAACAGAACCCATGTGAACCGAACGGGAAACCAGTGGTTCATGGTTTTGATTGTTGTTTTCAACGTGTCTGTGTTTCTCAAGAGTCAGCAGCCCGGTTCGACGGGATGTCTTATTTTAGTGGTGACCCGAACTTCTGTCCTGAATGCGGGAACGTTCTTCCGGTACCAGTAACCTCCAACACTGTCCTGTGTCCTCGCTGCTCCTTCTGCATTCCTGTTTCAGGTAACGTGTCCCAGAGCCGTTTCTAGCTTTGTGAGGGCCTGATTCAAGAGGCTGTTTGGGAACCCGGGTGGAGGTGGTGATGATTCCTCAAAGTACCACAAGTGTAGTAAAAAGAAAAAAAAATCACTTCACAGTAAATGTATTTAACGTGATAGTGATGCACCGATATGAAATTTTTGGGCTAAAACAAATATACAATATTAATATCACCGTTATGGCCGAAAACCGATACCGATATACCGACATTAATGCTTCTAAAATCAGCAGATTTTGTGTAGGGCTTGTGATCACACGTGATTACGCATAGCATTCTGCAAACTGTGAAATAAACGGTACTGTCGCAGAGTAGAAGCAGATTTGGGTGAAAGAAAGTGTTAAATCACATAAAATCCCAACAAGGATGTGGAATATACAGGGACATGTTATATAAAGACGTCGGGGACCGGTATGTGGACAAAATCATCATTATAAATGGTTTTGATCCACATAAAAGACCCAAGACTGGAGCACTGGTGACATATTGTTGCAGCTGCAGTTCTGCATAACAGACTTTTTCGGCTATCTTGTTTAACGTCCAGATGAGAGGTAAACGTTTAATTTGTTGGTTTTTCTAGTAAAACAATCAAAATTGTCATCCCTCAGAAGAAGTGTAGCGAGAAAAGTTATGTTGTGTATCATTAGCTTACCGGTAGGTGAGTGTAGCCTCTGTGTACGTGTGTGTTTCGTGTGCATGTTGCGGTTGAGGGAAAGAAACGATGTATAAAAACGTACACCATCTGTAATTTACCAGAATGAAAATAATTTGGAAGGTGATGTTTGGTCGCCTTACAGCTGCGATCCAAGTGAGCTAACAAGACTTTATGCTAGATACTTGGTCTCTGTCGTTTTGCCACTAAACAGGAAAACTGTGGAAAGTTAGCTTGTTTTTCACCTTAATTCCACTGGCGATCACGTGTGTCACATGAATTAATAATACATAAAAAGTATCAGCTGTTGTGCTACAGCTACTATTTACCGTCTATGTGGTAGATTACTGTAAATACAGGCATGAACATGTAAGCACACAAACAAATACATATATCAGGTGCATCCTGCATGGAGTAGTGACCGTAGCGTTTAAGTGGCTGGCTGACTAATGACGTCATAATGTGTTATAAATCCCATCTACTGGTGGAATCGGTGGTCTACGGGAGTGCTCCTTCCTGCAGCGGGGGTATATCAGTTTCTGACTGAATGAGCTGCTCAGGTTGATGTGTGTTGTTCATGATGGATGTTAGCTTAGCTAGCATCCTCCTCTCGCCCACCACCGATTCCAGGGGGCATCCCAGTACAGAGCTAGTCCTCTGCACCAGTTTGCCAATTCTGTTCTGGTCCCTGTCTGTACATCCGCTTCCCCAACAGGCCACTGCATAGAAAAGGGCAGATGCAACCGACAAATCATAAAAAGTCCTTCACAGAGTTCTGCATACTCTGAAGGACCTCAGTTTCTCAGCAGGTGGAGTCAACTGCATTTGAGATGGGCAGATGAAGGACAGTCCTTGTGGTAACTCTGGGAGAGCTTAGTCTGACTGATTGTTGCCTTTCTCCTTTATTGTTTTTTCATTAAAAACAATACGCATCCAAGAAGAAGAAGAAGAAAAGATCTCTTCTATAGCGCCTCTCAAGATAAAAATCACGAGGCGCTTCACAAAAACAAAAAATGTAAAAATATAAAAAAGAATTTAGAAAATGATTAAAAATATATTTAAAATGAGCAAAAGATAGACAATTGTGATTAAAAATGTAAATAAAGAGAGAGATTGAATAGGAAAGAGGGAAATCCAACACAATTATCTTGAATTTTAGAAACACACACACTTAAAAAATACATATTTCAATCAGGGATTACAATTATTATTTTTTTTTTCAAAATTTATCGTTTTAGCTTTTTAGAACAGTTTAATTTGCTTGTTGCTGTCATAACAAAAACACCTACAAAAACTATTCACATGAATACTTTTTAAAAGGTGGGCAGCAGTGCCATAAAAAATATATCCACATTAAAACCACTGACTTGTTACTGCACCACCATGAGCTTTACACTGTTCCAAGGACTTATCCTTGCAGTGCGGTTTAATACTGGAACAAAGGCGATGAATCAGCTTTGGTTCTGAACAGAAAGGCTCTGCCTCCCAGGGGGGTACGATTGTTCGGGACCCTACTTATTTATGTTGCAGAACCCTCTTCAGATCATCGTTTACATCCAAATCTTTTTCTCTAGAGTTCTCTGGTCAGACGGTCAAGTCCTCGGTGGTCTTTAACCAGCTGACTCCGTTGTTGGTTCTGAAGGATGATCGAGACTCTGACCTAAAAGGGCCCGTGGTAAGACCAGCTCATTAGCTGAAAGCTTTGTTATGCTAAGAGTTTGGCACTGTTGATGATGCCATCTTCGCCCTGTAGGTGGACAGACGCTGCTCACGGTGCAGTAAAGATGGGATGATTTACCACACCAGGCAGATGAGATCAGCAGATGAAGGACAGACGGTCTTCTTCACTTGTATCCACTGCAGGTGGTCTCTGGCTCCGCTGTGTCTCTTGGTACTCTTGGTGATGATAGTACTTACGGTTTTTCTTTTTTTGTTTTAGATATCAAGAAAAGGAGGACTCCTGACACTCTACCGGCCCCCACTGGGTTTCTCAGAACATCTTCGTCAGCTCTCCCTCTTCTAATGATACCTGTCAGGATCAGCATTGGATTTATTTCTCTTTTTATATTAATTTGAATGATTGGCTGCTGCCAGATTCAGCTCAAATCTTGTTAAAGTAAATCTGAGCCTCTGTCATTCTGAAGGTGGTAAAGGAACCCTACAGCAAATCTGCTCCATCTGAACGGAAATGTCAAATCTCTGTGAAGGATGAGTTGGTAGAGCTTGGTTGAATGGAAGATGGATGGAATAACATTCAGACAAATCGGACAAGAGCTACATGAATCCTGTGGATTTTCAGTCCGAATGTAGATTAATAAATGAGTATGGGCCCCAATGTTGTCCGGCTTCATCGTCTGATCAATTAACTTTTTCCAATTCAATAATTTACAGCGAAATTTACCAAGTTCACAAGCATGTACACAAAATATATAAATATTTATGTAAATTTTTATTTCAGGTCATTGTGAAAGTTTGGAATGAGCTCCCGATTTTACTTCTCTCTACATCTAGGTTATCTTCCGTTCATTCGTTGTTTGTTTAGCCTGGATCGTTTTCTCGTCATTTCGAAAAGTTTGATCCAAAACAAGAACTTTTATTAAATTAGTTTGGCAGTGAATACTCTATGTTTGGTTAACTTATTGTAAGTTGTTTATCTAAGGAGTCCATAGCTCTGCTAGCATAAATCTTATGACTCTTTCCATTTATTTTTATTACACACACCTTTGAAACAAACATCCAAACCAGTGTTGAGGCTACACACATGAAAAAAAAGACCTCAACACAACATCGTATAAAAAACACATACAGGGATACACATTGCATTATTTGTTTAAACAAAAGTAATTTGTAGTGATTTGAAGTTGTATATTAATGAAAAGCGTTCTTCTGTCTCTTCTGGAATGTAAACATACTGAACCAAGCGTCCGACCTTGGCGATGTTACTGTGTGAAGGGGCAGCTGTTAAGGGCAGACCATTATAAGCTTCCTAACGCTACAAATTCAATATGGTATTAGTAGTACTACTACTATCACTGCTGCTCATGCGTATACGCTTAGCGGTCGGCTCTTGTTCGCACCGCTTATGCGTGCTCGATTCAGATACATGGTCGAGGGTTGTTGTGTTCGCCAATGTCTAAGTACTTAATCATGACACGGCTTTGTGGATTAGGGTAACTTTTCTTTTTTTTTCTTTACACTTAGACATATCAACGCTGTTCACATAGATATACCAGGGTTAACCTCTTCTGTATCAGAATTGTCTTTTGTGTTTGTAATCAAGCCTTGCGCGGTAGATCTTTCCGCGCAGGGAGACATAGATTGTTGGGTAATTTTTATATTACTCCCATATAGGGATGTAAGAAAATATCGATATGGCAATATATCGTGATATTTTTTTCCAGCAATATTATATCGATATCCAAAAGCCGTGTATCCGAAATATCGATATGGCAATATATCATGATCTTTTTTCCTGCGATTATTACATTAATATTCAAAAACCGTGTATCTAAATCTTGAAAGAATTTACATGCAAACTTTTGTGTATTTTCTTTTCGTTTTGTGCAATTCAATCGCCACCCGCTAGTTGGCAGCAGTGTGCAATGGGTTTTGTTTCCACCATTGAAATGTAAATCCCTCCATCATGGTTCAGATACCTCATGTTAAACATGTTACGTATCAGTTTGGACTGTTTATTGAACATTCTTACAATAAATTCAGTAAAAAAATTGCTTGTAACATCTGAGTGAATGTATCGCAAGATATCGTGATATATCGTATCGTCTCCCCTGTATCGTGATATGTATCGTATCGGCAGAATTTCAAAAATACACATCCCTGCTCCCATATTACCTCAAAGAAAGTTCAGAACACACACACAGAGGGATTAGATTGATAATTTGGTAAATTGTAATCCTGCCAACAACAAATACTTTGCAAAGGGTGATGGAAATCAAATACACACCAGAGACAGGTCAGTGTGCTCTCACACTTAGGCAAAGCCTTAGAGCTCCTTTTATTTAGGAAGGCACACCCAGAAGTTTACACAATTCTTCAGAATCAGCTGACCGGAGTAACCTAATCCTGTGGAGACATAGTTTATGATTAGCAAAACAAAATAATAATAAGAACAAGACTACAATTAAGGTAAATATGTATGTAGTATTAAAATCAACCTCTAACACACCAAAAGGTCACAAAATAGTGATCTTCAAAAAGCTGTAAAATAGGTAACAACCTGTTTTAAAATGAATTTCAAACTGGATGATTAATAAAAAACATGATCAACTTTATTCTAAAATGATTATAACAATGATTACACTGATTAAGCAAAATTAAAGATCAAGCTAATAACCTAAAGGATAATAAAATCTGAGCTGATAACAAGAACATCAATCAACAATGGTTACAGGAACTGTTATTTACATTGTTGAAATCACAATGAAACCAACTTTATCAGGCAATACATTCATCATTTGCAAGCTCCTCTTTTTGTCTCAGGAGAGTATATTGAACCAAGGCATTTGTCATCAGTTTGCTTACCATATCCTTCAAACACGGGATTACACAGCCTAAAACTAAGCAAATCATGACCAGGATAATAACAGGTGCGAGAAACTTTAACAAGAGCTGATACCAGATACCAGCAAACTCATAAAACTCCAGGGTCCTTCAGTCGATTCGTTGGATTTCAGGAAGTTGCCAGAGGGGGAAAGTTAATGTAAAATGTTAATGTACGCAGCTCTAACTGTGGCAGAGCTGAGGTCAAAGGGCTTGTTCGTGGACTGGAAATTGTAGTTTGAGCAAAACAATGCCTTCTTCAGGATGGTGTTGCATGGGGAAAGGTGATGCAGAAGTGTCCTTTGGGGTCGTCGTCGTGAGGGGCGCGGCTTTCGTCGCTCATATGAGGCGGGGTCAGTGTGCCAATCTGCACATGTGTGCCACACCAGGTGTGTGGCAGGAGAGAGCCAACCTGAGCAAAAGGCGTGTCCCAGCAACTGTGATGATGTCATAGCAACCTGGGATTCAGTGACGGTGGGGACGGTGAGGGGATGTCTCTTTGGACAAGGAGCCATGAAACCAGATGGGAGATTTGGGGTACTGGATCTTGACATTGTTGGAGGCAGGTCACAGCGTCGTGTGGACGGACCCAGGAGGGGTCTCAACCACCAGATGTTGTTTCCGTTGTTTCTCCCAACTGCTGCTGCTTCCTCTCGTTCCATCAGATGCTGAGGGGCGGTTTCAGGGCAAAGTGCGATCCCCAAACATCAGCAGCGACATGGTGGATGGGCCCTGCAAGCTTAAGGCAGATTGTTTACTTATCTGCCGTCCTCGGTGAGCCCGCATGAGGATGGTCAGTCGTACTGGCCCACTCAGCAGTATGCAGCAGCGGGAGGGATGAGTGACCTTGACACCTCATCTTGGTAGAAGCACGTGCACCCCCAATCTCCTTGGTTTCACGGTCTGTGGCGAGAAAGCACACAAGGATCTGCAAGTTCACTGTGGCTTTTTGACATCTTCAGCAACAACCATCCAATATACTTTTTGACCAGTCCAGTTTGGACCCCCCAATGGGGCCGAAATTCACCAGAAATTTACCATCACAGTCCACATGGTATCATCCTAAGCTAAACTCAAGACCACACACCCATGTGAGGTCAACATACAAACAAAATACTGAGATGGACAGAAAATGCCCTGAGACATTCCTTTATGAGTTAAAAAGAACCATGAAATACAAACAAAAACCTCGCATTGCGTTCCCCCTGAACGTAACAGTTTGAACAGCAAAAGATAAAATAATAAAAATAAACACAATGTCATATCAAAAGACCTGAGTAAGGCAACTGTTGGTCTTTCTTCTGTTAGACCAAGCACGGGTACGGAGAAGATGGAGTTAAACACCTTTTGAGTTGGCAGAATGTGGAGACAAATGATCAGAAGTCCAGTCACTGTTTTCACCGCTCATGAGGGGGAGAGCCTTTGCAACATACAGCAGGTCCCGCGACCTGCTCCCGTCAGTTGCTTCGGACAGACTCTCGCCGTTCTGCTGAAACGGCTGATTTTTATTGAAAAGCACAGGAATGTAACATACGCAGTTTGCCATACACACACGTAATTCTGCCATCTGCACCTGTAGACGCACGTCAGCTAATAGCCTTGTTAATGAAAGACCAATTCATCCCAAGGACATGCAACCTTGAGATGACCAGGACACATCCTGCAACATCCTTTGCTAACAAAGACAGTTGTTCTTGTATTGAGGAACTGAAGGAAGGAACACTTTCACTCCCTTTTGGAGTTCCTGCAGCTGTTTAGAGCTCATGCAGGAGAGAAGCACAGAGAGGCCTTTGATATTATAACATGATTCCATAATGAAAAAAGTATCATATAACAATGAATAATAAAAGAGCTTATATGAGAGTTACATATATTTTCAATCCCCCTTTTGAACTCTTTTAAGAGTTCAATAAAGATATAAGAAAGCAAAACAATAACACCAAATTCCATCAAAAAGAATCCAATAAGCAAAGTTTTAAAATACAAATACAAACAATCAATCAGATTACAGCTTCTCATATTTCCAGCAGTAAAGTAATACAAAAAACATGATCATATTTTTAACTGAACTTGTTACAACATGAATGGATCGCATGCTCACCGTATGAGGGCGAAAAACCCTAATTATCGTACGTCAAATAGGGAAAATTCCCCCATGTCCCCCCATTTTGGGGCGAACACCTTTTGGCACAGAGTGGGCATGCCTAGGTCATCAATGATCAAAAAATAAAAACAACACAATCAAAAAACTCATAGAAATGAACAGGTGAAGGGATTGTTACAGAAATCACTGAACATTCTCACACTCTAACATCATCTTCTTCATCATGAGAGTCATCACTATCATCAGAGGGTTCCCTTCCCAAATAGATGTTAGGATTGGCTAGTAACAAGGGCATCTGGATAATTGGGTCAGCAGGTGGAGAGATGGCAATGGTGATCAATCCTTGTAAAATAAATGAGGGTGTAAAATATAACCCTTGTAGAATGTTCGTATGGTGGTTACTTCTTCCCCCTGTTGAGGTCCCTCCACTGGCTCCAGGCAGCTGCAGGGGGTGATGATGTCACGATTCTCGTCCTGCAGGATGTGGTGGCAGCTTGGCATGCTACCTCGTCCCGCAGAATTGGTAGCTTGGCACGCTACTGTAGTCAGCTACTTCTCTTCCTGGTTTTTGGATCCTTTTTCTGGTCAGGCAGATGTCGGCTGCTTCTCTTCCAGGTTAGGCTCCTCTCCTTGTGACAGGTTCTCTTGGACCTCGATCAGGGTGCGGTGTG